CAAGGATGGAATTCATTGGTACTTGCCTTTGCCTTGCTTTGTTACAATCGTACTTGAACGCAATATTGTCACCATATTCACAATCAATCTTCTTACACCTACACAATGCTCTTACCTACGTTTTTACCCAATCATAGCCCCATTTGGAACAAAAGAATGTGCAGCAGATAGAAAGGGGATATATTGATGCTTCCCCATTGTCAACTCAGATGAAACTTACAATCACAACTATCAACCATCTCTTTCAACCCCCCCCATATGGCCCTTTTTGTCCAATGCTTCTGAAAGATCTTCCATAATCACATCTCTACTACATGGACTTTAGACTGGAGGAACATTGTACTTTGTGAAACTTAGGGATATATGTCTTTGGATAGTACCAAACCTTTATCTCCTGAAGATGTATTGAATCATATATGTATGTAGCAAGTACTATTCCAATCTCCTCAACCCCAATACAACAAGTGGAAGCAAACTCACATTTACAATAGTGGGCAAGAAAACAGCAAACTTTATAGGTTGAAATAGGGCCACAATCATTTTGGCATCAAATAGCTTCATTATGTGAAGTCTTGACCACGATCTTTGTTAACATCGCTCTCTCTGTGGCTCCCCCTCTTCCTTTGGAAAATTCGTAATACAGGCATAGAACTTCTCAACTATCAAGCTCACCACCAGGTGTTCATACTTGATCATAATTGCCTGTGGGAGAAAATGAGAGGCTCTGTGTATTGTGTTACATTATGGGAACTGCCAATAAATATAACTCAATATGGATCTCTAGATGAGAAGAATCAAAGGGGAATCATAAGACTTGTACGTTAAGGGATGAAAAGCATCTTATTTGCCAAGTAATTGCGTCTGATACTTATTATACTCACAAGACTCACATGCTATGACTTTTACAGCAATCAATAATGAAGCAAACAGATATTACAACTTTTACTCACCTAGAAAGCAGTGACAATGATACATTGTATACATGATTCATAAATAAAGGGGAAATGATGACTGCTTTCATGATCTGATATGATTATTCCTTTAATAGAGTTTGCCATCTATATCAGATCATTCCACCTTTCCCACCTTTCTCCCTCTTCATGTTCTCCTATTCAAAAGGATCCTGTCCTAACATTTGCATGCTGGGACCAAAGGAATCTATCATAACTACCTAATGGTGATGTAAAACCAGAAAGCAAATATCACCATTGTAGATCATAAAGCCATGATAAGATAAAAATTGAATCAAGTGAAGTGAAGTGAAGTGCAGTGAAGTGTAGTGAAGTGAAGTGAAGGAAAGTAAAATGACGTTGAACTTTCCTAAACATCACGCTTACATAATTAACCTTAATCATGTGATCTGAGCAGAATCTCTACACTAGCTCGAGCCTAATCTCGGACTAGGCTGAATGCAGATCCTCGATTTTTTTTACCATTAGTATGAGCAAGCGCATTCGATTGTTCAGAACTTGCATGACTTTATTTGTTCCTTCAAACTCCCCAAAAGATCAACAATCTAACCATCAATTATCATAACATTTGTCAAAGACACAAACTACCATTTCCTTTGATCTGCTTGTCGTGCATTTCATTAACACAGAAAATTCCTTTTCACGACACAACCTGATCTTCAAAAAGATCTCTCCGTTTCCCTTCTCATTTCTGAGCCTAGGAAATCAAAGAAACAATGGCCGATCAACCCAGCATCACATCTATCCTGGCTGCTTTGGGTAAATTTTCTCTCCTAGATATCAAAGGGGAAATTTGGAAACTAACTTTTTTTCAGCAGCGCAGCGCCCCAATGCGACCCCTCCGCAGAATCAGCAGCCTGCATACCAGCCTCCTCAACAACAGCCAAATCCCTATGCACAAGCCGGCGGCTACTCTCTACCTCAACCTACAAACTCGGGTAGTGTTGATCTCAGCGGTATCAAGCCTGTAAGCTCCGGAACTGTTAGTATTCAAGATGCCATCGCAAAGGCGAAGGTGATTGCTGCTGAGAAGGGTGTTGCCTACGACAGAGCTCCATCTTATGTTGGACAGCCCCCTATGCCTTCCGGTAGACCATATAGCCCAAGATCTAGATCCAGATCGCCACAGCCAACACGTCGCGATGCCTTTCGCGATAATTTCAACCCATATCGCGATGAAAGACGAGGCCCACCAGGAAGAGATTATCGCGAACGTTCATTCTCCCCCGGAGTACGAGGAAGAGGCCCACCCGATGCTTTCCCACCTCCACATGGAGGCGCAGGCGGTTATGCTCGTGAACGTTCTCCAATACGCGGCGCAGAAGACAATGTTGAATCGATCTCAATCGAGTCGAATCTCGTGGGATTGATCATTGGTAGACAGGGCGAGAATTTAAGAAGAGTGGAATCAGAAACTGGTTGCAGAGTACAATTCATTACTGGTCCTGATGAAACAGGTCCTTTCAGAACCTGCAAAATCACTGGTCCTCGTGCTCGCAGAGCGGATGCCAAGGCCGAAATTACTCGCATTATCGATGACAGTGGTTTGGGCCCACTTTCAGACAGAGCTCCAAGAGAACAGAATGCCACCCGAGATTCATCGCATCAACCCGCATTGAGAGATGGCGAGGATAGTATGCAAATCATGGTTCCGGATAGAACAGTTGGTCTTATTATTGGCCGCGGTGGAGAGACTATCAGAGATCTTCAAGAGCGAAGCGGCTGCCATGTCAATATTGTTGGAGAGCAGAAGAGCGTCAACGGACTTCGACCAGTCAATCTCATCGGTACTCGAGAGGCCGCTGCCATGGCCAAAGATTTGATTATGGAGATTGTCGAGAGTGATAGTAAGAGCGCACCAAAGGAGCGTGCACCCGCCCCTAGAGAGAACAATCGTGACGCTGGTTATGGTGGTTACGCAAGTGGTGGCGCTAGTGGTGGTGGCCAAGGAGATAAGATCAATGATTCAATCTTCGTACCTTCCGAGGCTGTAGGCATGATTATTGGCAAAGGCGGCGAAACGATCAAAGACATGCAGAACACGACCGGTTGCAAGATCAATGTAACTCAGTCTTCGGGACCAGGTGAGGTTGAACGTGAAATTGGCCTTGTAGGATCTCAGCAAGCTATAGCAGCTGCCAAGCGAGCCATCGAAGATAAGGTTGATGCTGTGGTAAGTGAAAATCATTACTCTCGTCTTTGTAACACTTTCTAACTTCTAGAAGCAACAGAAAAACAATGGAGGTGGTGGTGGAGGTCATCGTAATAACCGTGGACAACAAAATCAACAGAACGATTATGGAGACCGTGGCTATTCCCAACAATCATATGCCCAACCACAAGGACAACAAGGACAACAGGCTCCCCCAAGTGGCGCCGAAGACCCCTATGCAGCTTGTAAGTTTCATTCCTGGTCAAATTTGAACTTTACTGACAAAATTAGATGGTGGATACGCCAACTATGCACAGCTTTGGTATCAGGCATTGGCCGCGCAAGGTCAAGGTGATACAACCAAGCCGCCAGGAACTTCGTAATTTTACGACAGTGATTACCAGTCGTAGGATGATTCGACATTTGACTTGCATGATTCGTATGACTTGCATGACATACGCTGAGACCATGACGTTCGATTCATTTTCATCGATATAGTATGCCTACATTGCACATGATGACGATGACCGAGAACCTTCGTACTCTTTCATTACTGGCCTGATATTGGTATACTTTCTTCACTGAGTTGATCACGCAGCCCAGGATACTCTAACTTATGGATACACGATATAGTATGCTCTACCTACTACGTTTACGATTTTTGATGATGCTTTATCAAACAAAATTCCGGAGAAGAAAACCCCCAAAAAATGATACCGACGAACCAGATCTTATCTATTTGTAGATGATGACCAAACGCGTGCCATCTACTTTGCGCTGTGCAATGCAATTGATCTGACAATCTGCTTCTGCTTGACAACCATGATTTGGGCTTTTCTCACCGGGTATGATCTGCTTGCAATCCTGATATTCATGCATGAACGTCTTCTTCAATGGCTCCTATTTACAATTGTTTTTGATGCTCTGGTCAGCACAACCACTCTTGTCGATTCAAATATCGACCTTGAACTTTTTGATTCAGATGTGAGGCTCACGCAAGCAATTCGGTTTGCCCGGTGAGCATGGTCTGATTTGGTCTGGAAAATTTTCGATTTAATGCTGCATGCATGACTTGATCGCAACAGATGATACTGATAACTTGCTTGCTTTGCTGAGTAACTTTGAACTTTTGGCTTTTGCTATTGCTTGCTCGCTTCGTGGATGACTGCGCGACCAATGGTCAATCGGATTATTCCTTTACTTTCTTACTTGCGCTTGATGGGTACCACTTATCAGATAGGCATTATTTGGATTGGTGTGTGGGATGGATGGTGGGTAATACATACAAAAAGTCATTAATGGTCAGGAGTGGTGGATGGGGTTTATTGGTCGGTAATGTTTGTAAGATAGGTACAATAAAAAATCGTTTATTATGTTTGAAGAGTTCCTGTAGAGCAAATGCTGGTTTGAGTCCTGCGTGTGGGTCGGAAATGTATCTTGATATCTTACGAGTGTTGATGGATCTTTGTCTTCACAATGGAAGGCACTGAATCGTCGGAGATTTAAAGTAGGATTATTCCAAGATCTGTTGGCGCTTTTCTAAATATTTGATCACTCCAAATGCCTACTCTCAATCAATCTTTGGTTTTCAAGATTCTAGTTTGAACGATTTGATCCCGATTATCTCACATTCTCACATAATACTGACTGAGGATATATCTGTAAGATCTTATTTAAACATAGATAGCATTAACTTCTTTCGTTTCCTAATCTTCTATATACATGAAAATTACATCATACCCAACCGAGTTCGTAAAGACGTCCCGATTCCAAAATCATTAAACATAACTCATCAAAAAAGCTCCCCTTTCCTCATCATTCCCCCCAAACTTCTATCAGTATTCCCACCAGATTATCTCATCACGTTCCTTCCCGATTTAGAAACTAAAGCTTCCCTCGACTCTCAAATCTCGACTCGAGAATCCCACCTTGATACCGAATTCTCCCTCTGGAATTCTCCACTCCTGTAATTCCACATCCCAGAAACTGATATCTCTGCGCATCAACTCGAACGTGACGGTTTTATTTTCACCCGCGTTCAAGCCGATTTTTTCGAATCCGCGCAATTGCTTGACGGGGGTTTCGCTGCCCTCGATTTCGGGGATGGTGATGTAGAGTTGGGGGACGGCGGCGCCGGAGTAATTTCCTGTGTTGGAGACGCTGGCGCTGACGGTGTAGACCGGAGTCCAGAGATCGGGGTTTCCGCCGGGAATGGAGGCATTGGCGGCCATGGGGGCGGGGGTGGAGGACAGGGTTTCGTTGGAGATAGGGGTGATGCTTAGGGAGGAGAGATCGAAGGTGGTATAGCTGAGACCGAATCCGAATTCGTAGAGGACGGAAATGTTATGGTAGTCAAAGTATCGGTAATCGATCAGAAGACGTTCGGTGAAATCTGATTGCCATGCACCTGGTTCGGTTGAGTTTACACTGGTGGTGATGGGTGCGAAGTCATAATCAGAAGCATTGTAGGCGATGGTGTAAGGAAGATGTCCAGAGGGATTGTAGGCACCGTAGAGGACATCGACTAAACTATTTCCAATTTGGTCGCCAGAGAGATGGGTAGCGAGGATAGCGGTAACGTTGGGGTGGTCAGCCCATGGCATGAGGTTCAAACCTGTAGCTTGAGAAATAACGACGGTATTACTGCAGTTTGCGGCAACTTGCTCTACGACGGCATCACCATCCCAGTCAAATGACAAGGAAGTTCTGTCATCACCTTCGGATGCGTAAGTCTTGATGAATACTAAGCATACGTCTGGAATTGGGTAGACAACGCCCGAGAAGCCTCCATCGGTGGCCAATTGGGTGTTGTTCAAGATAGCTTGAACCATTGAGCCGTCCTTAAGAGCACGAGCTTTGATAGCCTCAAGAGGAGTAACAAGTTGGGAAAAACGTCCAGATCCAGATCCACCACCAATAGGCAAACATCCATACTCGTAGTCTTTGTCATGAGGATAAGGACCGTTTGTCAACTCGCCTGCAGCATTTCCGAAAACTCCAATACGCTTAGGAGCTTTGAGAGGGAGGGCGTTGTTGGTGTTCTTGAGGAGAACGGTTCCAGCAGCACCGAGTTCGCGAACCAACCAGCTGTGGTTTCCACGGACATCAACATCAGCGGCACCCATTGAAGAGGTCCAGTTTGATGCATAGATAGATGGCTCGTTGAATTGATTCATCTGTGGGTAAGCACCAGATGAAGGGTCGATGAGAGGGAAATCTTTATCTTGTTCGAGGAAGAAATATGGAGTCATGACTCGAAGAGCCATGTCGTTGAGACGCTCAAGGGTGACGGATCCGTTGCTAACAGCAGTAGTAAGGTTGGAACCGAAGTATGTTGGAATTCCAGGGGCCATTGGGTCCCACCATTCAGCTCCAGGCATGGTCATATCCAAACCAGCATTGGCAGAGGCAACACCAGCATGTGTTCCCATCCAATCAGATACAACAAATCCTTGGAAACCAAGCTCAGTCTTGAGCAGGCCGTTCAAGAGTTTGGAGTTTTGACAGGCGTAGGATGAGTTAACTCTGTTGTAAGAGCACATGACGTTTGCAACTCCAGCGCGAATGGCATTGTAGAATGGCCACATGTACAACTCGTGGATAGTTCTATCTTCAACATTTGCAGAGACAGAGAGCTGCTGGGTGTCATTTGGGAACCAGTTTGCATCGAAAATACCTGCAGTATTTCGCTGCGTCTCTTGTTCATATGCAAGGAAATGTTTGGCGCTTGCTTGAACACCTTGTGATTGGACACCGACAATTGTCTCTTCCATTGCAACACCCGTGAGATAGGGATCTGGAGAAAATCCTTCCCAATTTCTTCCTGCCATAGCACTTCTGCCAAGAGGACCAGCTACAGGTCCCAAGAAGACATGGGCACCTTTACCGCGAAATTCAGCACCAAGGTATTCTCCTCTAGTGTTCATGAGACTTCTATCCCAAGATGCAGCGGTAGTAAGACCAGCAGGGAAGACGGTAACATAATCAGCTTGTCTCAAGGAGGCTGGTCCATCTTGAAGACAGAGTCCCTTGAACCCAACTCGTGGGATTGGTGCAATGTTACTTATGACAAAATCAGCAAAGAATAGATTGACACGAATATGATCTCATCACTTACCCAACACAAGGTCCATTTGCACCAGTCAGAAGTGATGCCTTCTCCTCAGCTGTGAGATTACCGATGAAAGCATTGGCCTTTACGAGAGCAGCCTCCCATCCTGTGCCTTGCAATTCAGCTGGAAGAGATGTTAGTATTGTCTAAGTTCGAGTAGTTCAAGGGATCTTGAGTGCTATAGACCGAAGGCTAATCACGTTCGTAGAACGAAATACCATCGTGTAAATGTGAAAGGGAGGAGAACGTACGAGAAGGATAGACTGGTGGAGATGTTTCGAACAAAGAAGAATCCCAAGCCTGGCCATTGACAGTAGCAATGCAGCCAGCGAGGACCGAGATGATATCGAGTAAAGGAGCCATTGTAACTTGTCTACTGGAACTGCTTCCTTCACTTCTCTGGACGATCTCTCCTACTTATATAAACTTCATGATGGTAGATCTTCGGGAACTCATTCCTGTCCATAAACAAATTCATTACGAAGCATACTGAAGAAATTAGCTGGGGAGAACAATGACCCGGCATAAACGTCATCTCTCACTCCCCAATAGTACTTTCCCACGAAAACGGTTCAATATGATCGGTCTATGGAGTACTTTTAGATCTCCACTTGTGGAGAAAACGAGTTCCCCATGGCGAAAAATGGCCGAAATAGTACCGCAAGGCAATCCCACCGGAGTCAATTTGATAATTTCATCCCACTTTCGCCAACATCTGGAGTATCATCGGGGAAACGAAAATATTTGTGTGGGGAATTTGGGGAACTCGTGATGGTCGGGAAATTTAAGTCGTGGGGAATTGGGGATTTTCCATGTAAAAAAAGAAGCGTACAGACTCCAGAGTAAATTATGGTTTTCTCAAGTTCTCAACACGAGGCTAACGAGCAAAAGAGAAAAGGCAAAACGAAGATACGAGGGTATCTGGAAGTTCTAATATTCAAGCCACAAGCATTGCCCTGAAGGCTTGAATATTGTTAGAAATATGTCAAACACCTATTCAAAGATGCTCAAAACATCCATTGACAACTTGGGTAGTATCCTTGCCTCCCATTTGTTCAATTGAAATAACGAAAAATCATGCTTCCAAAATTGACAAGGAAACAACTCTTGCAGCAAGCTCCGAACTCAGGTCACCGCCGCCTGGCTATTGACGCCCACATAAATGGGATGAACACATAACAGGAATACAACTTGCAAGTAGTCCCCAGCTTCTTCCCCAGTCCGGGCGGAGTCACTTGATTCCTCTCCTCCGCTACTCTGAATCTATGATCGCGTGTGCCGTTGTATCCTTTTTATTACCCTAAGTACCATACGAGCACTCCCAACGGTAAACAATTTTTACTCCAAGAAGTCTGAGCTTTTAGTTCTCCACTGAAAGCACCGTTCCAACTTCCAAGATTATTCGAGAAGGTGTTGTGCACGGAGGATGACATAATAGCAATGACAAGCATGAAAAAATATATCCCCTAAGGTGCCAGTTTCGGGCGCCCGATGTGGCCTGTGCGTCTAGCAAGAATATTAATAACTTTAAGAATAATATTATAAATAAAGGTTTTTATATTACATTTAAAGATGAAAATTTATAAGAAAAGTAATAATAAATAAACCAAGTATATTTCTAAAACTTTTTTATTAAATAATAATTATAAACGACTTTGATATAATTTATAATTAAAAATATTATTTAATGAAAAACTCAATACTTATTAATAAAATAAAGATATATATAAGGTTCTATATAAATATAAAGAACATATTATTTATATTTATTAAATTTCTAAGCATTCGATAATTAATTCAAAAAAACATGTGGAAACTATAAGAATTCTCAGAATCCTGATGTTTTGATTAAGCGAGGGCGCCCGAAGTTGGCATCTTAGGGGATAGCAAAATCTCTCCATAAGAATATGTATTATTAAGCGCTTTTTTAAGGGTAATGTTCGGCATTCTTGGATGGATGTATTCGGCTAATTCCGATCTAACAATTTACTTCCCATCAATCCCGACAGATTATATCTCTGCAATGGATTTGTAAGAATTCCAAGAATCCCTAAAGAATCATCATACAATACCAAAATCCTATCAATCTCATTGATCAAATAAGGTTACACATGATTCTAAAACTCAAAATCCTAAGTATGTTCCGGTGGACAGGTTTTAGGGATATAGGCCCTTTTTGATATAGAGATCGACAGGGGTATCGTTATAAGGACATCCTCCTAGGATCCATATAGAGAGATGTTGCTGTAATAGGATTTTGATTTGAAGAGATATAATCGCGAGCCGCGACCCACAAGATCGGTGTAGACATTACTCGGCTAGCTAGTCAATCTTATGGCATTTTTGAAGGACCTAGCAGTAGAATGATAGAATCATCTCTCAGTAGATTGGTATTATCTGGCTATGCTGACCATCCCTCCGTAGCGATTTAGGATGTATTGTTCCAAGAATCAAGCATTCACTACTCGAGTAAGTTCTTCGAGCATGGTTAGGAATAGCTGCGGGACATATAACAAATGTGTGAGTTACACACGACAGGTAATCCCTATTGGGCTGCAGATCTGCAGTTGCCAAAGCATCGTGGGGCCGCCGCCAAGTACTCCGCTGCTTGGACAAAATCCCACCATTACCGACCCGTTTACTTCTTATGGAAACTCCGACATTTAACGTCAGCCATCTGATATATGGCAAGTTGGCAACAGAGAGTTCTACTATAGCGGGGCTAACTTCGGAAGAGCTAAATACACCCTGGACGATATAAAATCGTATACTACGACGTCAATACTGGCTCTTCGATATCATATTTCAAATCGATCATTTCACATCGATCAATCCTTATTTTGAGCTGGAACCGGTATGTACCCCATCAAGCTTACATATCGATGACTACCAAATAGGTAGCCAATCTCATAATTTATCTAACTCGCTCTCTGTGCTGCTGTACGTTCTGTGTTATTAGCCACTAATAAATCAGGTGTACATCACCGTGCGGTGCGAGCCTAAAGAATAAACTAATGATGATCAGATCTCCTGTATGAACATCTTTTGATAGATGTCTAATTTTATCTACTAAATATAAAGTCAATTGCCCCAATCCACTTCCACCTATCCATCCATCCTTTTTCCGTCCTTTTCATTTCTTTTCCGTAATAAAGTCCATGTAGGCGTTGATCACTGATCATTATAAACCTCCAAGAGTGAACATGAAAGCCCCAAAATACCAGACGCTGAAAATACTTTTATCCAAGTATCCCACCCATATTTTATTATTGTAGCCTTTATGATATCATGCCAATTATACAACGAGACCCATCCCATCGCTTTCTTCTTTTTCTGTGGTGCCAGCTAAGGCACCGTATACTCTAATGGGAACAGCAACTTCAAAACTTTCACATTCGAGCCCTTGGACTGCTGCATAGACAACCCCTCGTTCATCATTCGTATATTCTTCCAACAATTCAGGGGATAAATCAATAATCTCGTTATCCACGGTGGTCAGTCTAGGGGTAACGAACTCAATGCGAATACGCCAATCGAGTGATACCCCACTAGTGATGAATTCAGGGGTTGCGGTGACGGGGATTGTAGGAGAAAAGACTATGCGGCGAGCAAAAAGAGTAGATTCAGAGTGCGAAACGTGAACGCGACGAGTAACGCGAAATATGCTTGCTTCAGAACGTAGCGCGATAGAGTTGTCGACCTTTTCGGATGTCTCTAAAGCGCAGTGTATTGCATAGCAGGGAATTCCAGCATCAGTAAATTCGATAGCTGCGGTGATGGTTTCGCCTAGGCGATATGCCGGCCTAGCTAGCATGACCACCGCAACTCTCTTTCCACCACGAGCAATTTCAAATCTGTTTGCACTTTGTTGAGATTCTGTGGCAATGTTGCTGCGAAGGATAGCCATATCAATTGCTTCTTTTGCGGTTGCAGGTTCCTCGATGATAGATTGGCGTCTAGATCCTATAGTTTCTGTGGGCGATAACAAACCAAAGCTAGAATTTCTTCGTGGCTTCGTGATTAATTCATCAACGTATGCAAGGAACTCGCCCAGATTTGAGTTAGGCTTTCGCGTTTTGTGCGTACTGACTGAAAGCTTTTTAAGTGAAGAACTCAAGCTTTCATCGGACGGCGTGTTAATAGTTTGAATTCGAGCTTGATCTCGAAGTAGTATATATGGTAACATAAGATCATGTCCAAGAAGCTCTCCATGAGAATTCACGCTGCCTAGAAGTCGAAATGGTATCTCAACTGACTTGACTTGTTGCTCCTTGGCACCTCCCGGTCTTTGGGTGCCGATGACTAATTTGTAGGATATCTTTATAGCCTTCCCTCGATGGCTGGGAGGCAGTCCTCTAGGTAGTTTGAAAGAGTATTTGTAGCTGCGACTTTCCCCAGGAGCCAATTTCAAATCCACAAACAAAATCGATTGAGGAGTTGACAGTAAAGGTATGGAACGAGAATTTACCATGCCCCGCATATCTTTCATGCTACTTAGCTCGCCGCCCCCTAAAAGACCACCTATTGATTCGCCTATGCTTCCCCAACCAAATGTTCGCAAAAGACTACTGTCCCTTTTGTTCGTTTCGACTCCAATTACACCACCACCTTGCCCCCCGACTGCACTTTTTCGCTTCACTTCTTCGAATGGCGCTTGACTAATTAAGGATGGATCCAGCATAAAAGACCCATGGATTTGAGCATAGCCCATCATGAGCGTCTCTGGTGCCCTGTGACTGCTACTGGGAGCTAAATTTGAAGACCTTTTTATATGGTGCCCACTGTAAGGTGGCATTCGATTTGATGGTTGTGGTAAATATTCTGAAGCGAGGGTCTCCGTCGAGTTGTTGCTCAAAGTATAGAATTCCCCGCTACTTCGTGGTGTGCCACCCATGCTTGATGGTGAGAGTATTCTTGCAATAGGTGCAGGTGTTATTTGGTCGGGAATACTTAGGACAGTATCTCTAGATCTGGGCGAGAGCAGCCGACTATCATGAGATTTGTGACTTGCGCTATCATCTTCAACGCGCGAATTACGTCGACTTTCTATCGAAGGTGAGGTGGTTGCTGGGAATTTAAAGGCTGGAGCAAGTGGGGTGGAGTCTTTCCTTCTTGCTAGATGTGACCCAAGCCCTGATGTTGTTGGCAGATTGCTTGTACCTGTATTTCGCCGCGGAGAATTCGGTACAGATGAATTCGGTGGGAAAGAGGAGCCCATTAAGGGCGAAGGGTGAGGCGGTATACGAGAATTAAGTGGTGCTAGAGGATGTTAATGACCATTTATTGTCTTGCGACTCGGGAACATTTACCTGTCATGGGTCCTCCATTAACTCCATTCCTTCGCGGAACGATTTGCAAGCTTG